AATTGGAAGGCAGACTTCAATACACAGTGCAGGGAGAGAAGGAGAGAGGAAGAAAGGAGGGAAGGAAGGAGACCCAGTTGGGCAGGGCCTCTCAAGCTCACCAATAGTTAAGACTACTTCCTACTTCCTCCAAAGAGTGAATGAGAAGGATCCTTCTGTGGTTCTGGGACCTGCAGCATCAGAGACACTTGGGAATGATAGAAATGTACCTTACAGGTCCAACTTCCAGAAACACTGAGTCAAACTTGGGGGAGGATGTACCTTATTAGGGTTCTAAGCCCAGCAGAACCACTGATCTAGAGGAAATTACCTCTCATGTAAACATGAGACCCAGAAGAAAGTATTTCCCTGAAACATTCTGCCACACATGGTCCCCACCCTATTCCTGGGAAAATAAATCACAGACAGAAAGTTCCCCCAGCTCCCATAGTTGGTTTTTAGTTTGTAGCTGCTCCTAGGGACACCAAGTGGAAGCTCCTCATGATCTCCACTCCATAGGAAAGATGTCATGGGTCTGGGGCTTCCCAGCACTGCCTTTTTCTCTTGTATTCACTGCAGGGGTTACCATCCTCTCTTTGGTGTTTGATAGTCTATGAAGATTAGAATGACCAATAAGACCTCAAAGATGTAAGCACATGGTTTACTGCTGAAACCCCTCTGTGTCTCCCTGTGCTACTTACATTTCAAAATGAGCCCCTCACCAAGGCCTGAACCTTTCCAACCATGTCTCACTCTTGTCACATTTCCAGTCACTCTGGCCTCTCTCTGGCCTGCTTAAGATGCTGCAACCAATCCTGCCTGAGAGCCTTTGCACTCGATGCCCTGCTGCTTGAAGGATTCTTCCCTAGGAACTTGATGTCTCTGGGCCTTTGTCCTTTAAACCAAAATGTCATCCCACAGAGAGCCTCTGGCCACCCATTCCAAGTACCTGCCACCCTGACTGTCATTGTTTACCTTATCACCCTGGTTTATTTCCTTCAGACCATTTGACACTATCAAAAAATATTCTGGTGTGTTTATTTGTTGATTTATTTATTGTCTGTCTCCTCCCTAGGATCAGGGCCCTTGATGTTTGCCTAGCACCAGAACAGTCACTGGCATCTTGTAGGCGTGAGATTTACATAAATATTTGTTGAATGAGTGAATACATTAACGTTACACAAACAGAGGAGAGAAGGCTCAGAGTGGAGGGATTTGGGCATCAAGACAGTGATGAGTCTAGAGGCTTTGCTTCCCAAAGCAGAGCACCCGAGCCCTACTGAGTGGGCCTGGGAGTCTGCCACCATGCCAACCCCAACCTGAGCTCCAGGCGCCTCACCCCACCCTATCTCCCTTCACTGTCATTACATTACAGGCATTAGAAGCCAGCAGATGCATACCCTTCTGTTATCTTTTCATTTTCAGCACAGGCCCTACACACTGTTTTTAAAACTCTTGAATTACCACCCACATTCACATAATTAACCACAAAGGAAACTAGAAATAGGTGTCACATGGGCGGGGGCCTGGCTGTGGGTGCCTCTTCCCAGAGAGAATGGTGGGCATCACACAGCCCCTGCCCTCCAGATGTCCACAGTTTGGGCTGTGGCTCCATGGGAACTGCTGCAGAGTGGTTACCTCCAAGGACAGGAAATTATAAGGGCAGGATAGAGGATGGAGGGAGAAATAATGCTGAAGATGGTCTCTCCTAGAATTATGACGAAGCTAGCATTTATCATGCAATATATTAGTTATCTATTGCTGTGTAACAAATTACAAGCTTAGTGGCTTGAAACATGCTTTTATACAGTTGAAACATTTCCACATCTACACCTATGTTTATACAGCTTCTGTGGGTCACGAATGGCTTAGCTGGGTCCATTCTTCGAGGTCTCACAAGACTACAGTCAAGGTCATCAGCCAGGGCTGTGTTCTTACTTGGTGGCTTGACCACAAGAAGAGGCACCACCCACTTGTGTAGCTGCTGTGGCCTCTAGTTCCTTGCAGTGGCAGGACTAAGAGTTTTCGTTTTCTGCTGACTGTTGGTCTGAAGCTGCCCTCAGCTGCTGGAGAGTCCCCAAAGTTCCTTGCTACATGGACTTTCTGAAGTCGGCTGCTTGCTTAATTGAACAGCAAGGGGAATCCTCAGGGCACATTGGCTAACAAGATGATGAAATATTAGATATCATTACATAATCATGGAAGTGACAGCCTGTCTCGTTTGCCATACTCTATTGGCTGGAAGCAAGTTATAGGTCCTGACCACAGCTAATGGGAGAGGATTATATAATAGCGTCAACACCAGGAGTAGTGGATCACAGAACAGCTACCCTAGAGGGTGTCCACCATAGTACATGTAGGCAGAGGACTGTGCCAAATGCTTTTTGACATGTGTCATATCATTTAATCACTGAAACAATCTATAAGTCAGGCATCATCCCCATTTCCCAGATGAGAAATGTGAGGAGGCTCATAGGAATGAGGATTGACCAGAACTGGCCAAGGTCCTGCCGTTGCTCAGGTTGGAGCCACCATATCACAGCATCAAGTGAACTTGAACAAGCTTAGAGGCTGAAGGGTCAGCATCCTTATGGTGAGGAGCAGAGGCTGAGAGAGGCAGGGGAAGAGAGTAGGAAGAGGAGTGTGGCTCCCTAGGAAAGGTGAGACCAGAAGGAAAGGATAGGTGTAGATGGCATTTTGGGAAAGAAAACTGAGAGCACTTACATCCAATGATCTCTGTTTTCTCAATGAAGCAGAAAATGAGGATTTCCCCTGAGAAGGTGGAAGATAAGCTGAGGGGAAGCAGAGCCAAGTTGGAATAGCAGCTGTGGACAATGGGGATAGGAATTTTTTGCCAGCATAAAGGCAGGTTGCCAAATAGAGCAAGGCTACTTCCTCCATGAAGACTTTGGTGATGGGATTGGTGGGTGGATCCCAGTCCCGCCACAGCGTTTTGTGTGTTCACTTTTAGCACCATGCCTGGCAGTGCTGTGATTGATGCCAAGACCATCTCTGTCATCAGAAGGAAAGTTCTTATGGGGCAGGAACCTAACACTAGTCCCTGTACAGCCTCCCCATACCCAACACAGCGTGTAGTATGGGGAGATTCTCCATGAACGGCCTGATTGCAGACCCTGAATTTCCCAATCACTCCACTGTATGACCTCTCATCCCTAAAGACTCATGCAGTTCTAAAAGATTTTTCAAACTATGTTTTTACTTTTCCTTTGAAACGTAAAAACCCCAGTAGTGAGTGGAAAGTAGGGTTAGAAATGGAGTTGGGATACTCTGTCGACACATAACTGGGAACAAAAAAAGATCAGTTTAGCGTTTTGACTCAATCTTTTTGATGCCAGGAAGTAAAAAGAACCATTTCACAATATCTCATTTCAATCCATCTTGATACTGTCCCATATTTTATTGCCAGAAAAATCCAGATACATTACAGACACAATACAACCCCATTCATCTAAAATTATTAAGTAGCAGAAAACTTACAGAAAATGAAACCTATGGGCTCATCTTCAGTGAAAAGCCCAGGAGAGTGGATGCCAGGACTATCTGCCATCACAGCCTCACTCTCTGGCTGTGAGAAGAAAATGCGGGCTGCATCGTCCCTCAGCACTCCCAAGGGAGCCCTGAGGTCTGCTCTGATTGGACCATTGCTGAGCCAGTCTCTGGTCAGGGAGATTCTGACCTCTGATCAAGTCTTGGTGATGTTATCATTTATACCGTTTAAACCTTACTTACACTTTCAGTTTCTCACACCAGAGAAACTATTCGGTATTTACACATGTGTGTCCTGGTTATTTCACTTAAGAGTATGACTTCAGTGTGCATCCTTTTAGCTATAAATGTCTGTACTTTCTCCTTCTTCATGGCTGAGTGGTACTCCATTTTATAAAAAAACCACATCTTCTTTATCCAGTCTCCAGTTGATGGGCACTTGGGCTGTTTCCAAGTTTAGGCTATTTCAAACTGTGCCGCTATAAACATGGGTGCGCATATATTGCTGTTGTATGATTCTTTTAATTCTTTTGGAAAGGAATTAAAGAAGTAGGGGAAGTGGGAAGGGTAGGGGAAAGGAACGAAGGGAAAAGAAAAAATGAGGAAAGGGAAAAATGGAAACAAAGTCTCTGTAAATAGGGAAGGGTGGAGGGGGTGAAGGGAGGGCAGGGAAAAGGGGAAAAATTAAGAACTAAGATACATCATGTAAAGGTACAAGATGCCAACGATGAATGTAACTATATTTTATACCTAAAATGTACCAATAAACTTAATGAAAAGAAGAAGGGAATAGGAAAGAAAAAAGTCTTGGTGACAAAGGGAGTCATAAAAAGGAGTAAGGTGCTGTGTGTGGCCAAGAGGGAGAGGAACAAGTGTCAGGTGGTCACGAATTCAATGAGGTTACGTATTTGGCCACAGAACAATGATGAGGTCCACCTGGAAGCTGTAGTCAGAGACCTTATTTCACCAAATTACTGTAGTGCCTAGCTAGGGATTTCATCTCAGTCCACTCAGGGTAGCTGAGCCTTACAGGAGATTCAGTATCTGGAGTGAAACCCCTGGTCATGTAGGTCCACGGTCCCCATGGTCCTGCCTATGAGAGGAGTTTCCTGCTGGGTGTCTGCTCATGCTTTGCTTCTGGGGCCTCACCCACCTGGACCTGAGGGGTCCTCCCACCTGCATGACCCCTTGGAACCAGAAGGTCCTACACCTCCCATGAATCCTTCATCCTGCTCCATCCCATGTGCTCAAGCCAGCCCATTTGGACACCACCACCCTCTCTTCAAGAACCAGCCTTGGGCCGGGAATTTAGCTCAGTGGTTCCTGTGCCTGCCTCGAAAGCGCAAGGTCCTGAGTTCAATCCCCGGTACCAAAAAAAACCAAAAAAAGAACCAGCCTCCCGAAAGTCACTCCCCAGCCCCAACCTTTCCACCCAGCAGCCAACTTCAACGCAGCCACAAAGGCTTCCCTAATGTCACTCATGACACCACGGCCAGGCAACGCAGTTCAGCAACATTTTATTTTTCCAAACTGGATCCATCAGTTTTGCCTGCCTTGGGTTTTCCCTCTGCACTGGCATCTAGCCAACCTTCGGAGGTTCTTCCTGGCCTGGCATTTTTTATGGTAGGTTTCAAGACCCTTGAAGTACTTAGCTCTCTCTGCTCATATGGCTGCTTTTCCACCTCTGTGGTTGCAGACCACATCTTCCCTGTGGCCTTCGCCACCTGCACCACAGACCAGTTGGGGTTCTCCCTCTTCACCTGGGCATAGTGGTCTTGGCAGAACAGCAGGAAGGATGATGGAGGCCGTCTGGGCGCCTGGGGGTCCCACTTTCTTCTTTTCCTTCTCTTTCCGACATAATTCATCATTTCTTTCTGGTATCGGGCTTTGTCGAGTTTTGCCAGGGCTTCGTACTTGGCCTTTTCATGCTTTGAGACGGCCCTCCATTTTTCCAAACACTTTCTAGAGAACTCTTTAAAGCCAAAGTAGGTATTTGGCTGCTGCTCCGTGCATTTGTTTCAGTAATTCAATAAAAAGTGGATATAAGAAGAAAGGTTCACCTTGGGTCTTGGCTGTACTTCTTTTCCCATGTTCATAAAATCATGTTGTCCTTTTTTTTTTCTGGTTTCTGTCATTTGGACAGTAGAGACTTTTGTCTCCTCGCACCAGGAGCAATCTAGAAGGTGCTCTGCTGGCAGTGAATGTTTCTCTCTGCAAGAGCTGCACTCAGAGGTCTGCCTTTTCAGTGGTGGTGGCTTTGTTGGGTCAGAGGAGGGAAATTGTGACATCACCCATAAACTGGCCAATCCTGGCCAACACTTGTAAGCATTTGCATACAGGTGCTCTGATTGGTTGGTTGCTCCATGATCTGTCTGTATCTCTCCAGAAAGATGATAGTTTATCCAAAGAAAGCTGTGGAGCAGCTGCTGCCACTGGGAATAATTCTCCTTGGCTTCCTTGAGGCAATGGATTTTGCTCAGCTTCGGGGGTTTTAAATCCCTCAGGGGTAGTAACAAGGGTCTACCTTCCTCACTAAGAGATTGTCAGGTTGCCCCATCCTCCCTTCCAAAGACAGGCTGATAATAAAGAACTGGAGGAGGTGGCTGGCTCAGAGCTGTCAGGATAAAACGTGAAATCTTTCTGTTTGCCTTGAACAGTGGCAGCTCACGCCATACAAAGGGTTTAGTAGTAATTCTAAAAATAATCAGCTATGACAGCTGTGGCTCGGTTGCTGTCAGGACAAAGTTGTCTAATTTAAAACCGGAGCACTTGGGCTATGAGTCTGAACCCTTCATTTCTCTGAAGAAATTTGAGGGGAAGGATGGAGGCTCCTTAATTACACTTGAGTCCATGAAATTGAGAGCATTCTTAAGCCCATCAGGAGGGTCCACCCTCTCCTGTGAAGGATCCCCATTACTTAGGGTTGAAGCACAAGCTTCTAAGAGCTCCATTCAAATGAGTTGACTTCTGGCTTTTGGTAAAAGTAGTTGCAAATATTCCCTGAGTCTTCCATTTGGAGGGAAAAGAAAGGCATCGTTTGTTGGCCTTTGGCCCCTGCAACATACTCATGTGAGATTGAATTTAATACAACTTCCTGCTAGATAATAGTGCCAAATGTACAGGACTAGAAAATTAAGTTTCAGTAACATGAAAAGTAACAAGTTCAAGGTCAAACAGTCACAGGTGGGAGTGTGAGCTTTGAGAGCTGAAGGCCTGAATCAATCAAACCTGTGCTCTATCTTGTCTGCATACAGTTTCCAGCAGCTGAGCATGGCAAGGAGGCTTGCCTAACTCCAGATCCCAGTGGGAAGTTCTGCCAAAGCCATTCACAGGGATCTAAGATTGACTTCAAATTTTGACTTATGTAAAAGATGGAAACCAGATAGAGTTCCCAGGCCTGAGTTCAAACCCCACAGTTTTCGATAGCTGTGCCCACCTAAAGCATGTTCTTCCTCCCTATGAGCCAGTGGATTCTCATAAAGTAAGCATTTCCAGGAAATCCCCTCCAGGAGATATTGCCTGTATGATATCAGATGGCAGTAGAAGTAGTCTGGGTTAGTGGGGTTGGGGGTTCTTGCCAATGGGAACAGATTGCTTTGGGGACATTAGTCAACCTAAGTAGTTTGTTTTTTTTTTAAACTTTTTCTTCTAAGGAGTCAGAGGTTGGCTCACCTGTTTGAACTTGAGCAAGGCTGTAGAGATGAATGGGACACAAGTACTTCCTGAAATTCAAAGATGGGACTTGAGGAAGAACTTTAGCTGAAGTCTACACATATTAATCAGACTCTGCTCGGGCAAGCATGCACACACATACACACAACACACACGCGTGCATGTGATCGTACACACAGCAGCTTATCTGTGCCTCTGTGCATAATCTTCCATTTATCTTCTTGGGATAAGAACCAGGAAGATGAACCAGATAACTATCTCATGGCTGGCAGATCCATGATAAAAGCAGAGGTGAGTGTTATGCCAACCCATTGGCTCCAGAGCAAACTATCAACTTGCAGACTTACCAGGGAAGTCCTCAGTGATGGGGGGGGGGGGCTTGGGAGTGGCAATATACCTGGCTCTCTAAGTCAGTGTTGTGTGCTGGTGTTGATTTGTCCTTCCAGTCTCCCTTTCCACCCTTTTCTACTCAGCTTTCTGCCCTGGGAAATGACCCCACAAGGGCCACATCAAGGGGCAGGGAGACCCCAACAAATCAGGGGTGGATTACGGTGAGGTTGAGATATTTATTCTCCTGGCTCTTCCTTGTGGGTCACCTAGAACTGGCTGTTCTCCCTGAAGTAGGGAGGTCTCTGTTCCTCTGAAGATGTACTCTATAAATGACTCTCAGTCTTAAATTTCATTCTCTTTCCCTGTCCCTTCCATCCTAGGTTGGTCACAGTTCCACTTTTGCTGGCTCTGAGTACTCTGTCACTTCCCTACATTCCATGACTTTCCTATACCCTGCACTCACCTTTGCAGATCATCTCTTTATTAAACACTCCTCCTCAAATTATTTTAATTTGAGCGCCATCTGTTTCCTGCTGGGTCCCTGACCATACTACCATGGCTCTGGCCTTACACCATGTAGGCATCTGTCCAAAGCAAAAGGGTATTGAGCCTCTAAAGACCCAAGTGCCACAGCCACACAGTCCAGATCAGAATGCAGAGGCAGTGCCTGCCAGGGCATGGGCCTACCAAGGCACATGGCTTGGGAAGAGACATCTAATATCCTGCATGGAGAGATGACCTTTAGGCAGGGGTCTGGACACAGAGGACCAGATAGTACATATTTTAGGTTTTGTGGGGCACAGAGTTTCTATTGCAAGCCCTCAGCTCTGCTGTTGTAGCTCAGAAGCAACAACAGACAATGCATACACAAAGGAGTGTGGCCTTTTGCCAATAAAACTTTATTTACAAAACAAGCCATAGACTGGAGGTCATAAATTTGTTGACTCCTGGTCTAGAGATGGGCTCAGTATTTTTAAACATGTTGATTGCAGTCTACAATTAAAAATAAAATTTATATCATAACTCATTTACATACACATACATAGTTAATATTTATCTAATGATAAATATGTGCCAGCTTGTTCTGAGTACACTGTGTATATCATTTCATTTAATCCTTATGACAGCCCTATTTGCGGAGAGGTATTTTTACTAAGTGTAAAGACAAAGGTAGCTAAGCTTAGAGAGGTCACAGAAGCAATAAGTTTTATGAATCTATACTTATTACCTGAGTGATAAACTCATTTTCTCTCATAGTCTCCTCCAATTTGGGTAGATTCTCGGTCTTTCCTTCTTTTCTCAATACCTTGACTCTTGAAAAGATCAGGGGTTTGACCCTGAATTTGGGTTGTCTAATGCTTTCTCAGGATTTGACAGGGGTAAGGACGAGGGTGACATGCTCTTATTGTGGCATCATAGAAAGGGGTGTGATATCAGTGTGACCCACTACTGCTGCTGTCCACTGAGACTGTTCGGTTGAGGTGGTGCCTACCAGCTTCCTTTACTGTGAAGACACTCTTTGTCCACTTCCTGTCCCTAAGTCCAGCCCACACAGTGAGAAGAGAGTGAGCCAGTGCTTTCATTCCTTTCAGTCTGCTCATGGCTTGATCATTACTCAACTTCGATCACAGCTGTAAAGAGCTAGACTAGCCCAAATTCATCCAGTAATAAATGACGAAGCTAAAAATTTGAATTTGTATCTGTCTGTCTCCAAAAGCTGGAAGGCGAATTTATGTTACTGTGACCAAAGAAACAGGTACTCATGGTCTGCAAGGGGACTTGTGTAGACAGAGTTTTTCAGATCAGTCCACACACTGTGACCCATTAGTGGGTCATGAGATCAGCCTATAGAGTGTGCCATAAATAACAAAATAGAGGAGACTAAGATGTGACAACTAAATTCAAATGCATAATGCTAAATTGGACACTGGAACAAAATAAAAAGTGGAAAACTGAAAAAATATGAATAAGGCCCCCCAGGCAATTAGAAGTACTCTGCCAATGTTGATTTCATAGTTTTGATGCATGTTCCTTAGTTATGAAAGACACTAACCTTGACAAAGCTGGGTGTCCACAAAATTTGTGTACAATCTTTCCAGCTCAATTTCTATTTCAAACTACAAAGGTTTTTTTTAATCTCTTAGATGATAATATTCCTCCAGTATCAAGACACCCTGCTCTTGCTGTGTCACCTCTAGGAAACGTAGTGCCAGATTTTCCCGACTGCAGCAGCCTATGCTCTTGGCATATCTTTGGCAATGAGGCCCACACTAGGTACCTGCTCACCTGCTCACCATTGCACAAGTCACCTAACCTTGTTGACCACCCTTAACATTTCCTAACAAAGAAAAGCCACTGCTCCAAAAGGCAGGGTAACGAGGCAATGAGCAGAGGCGGCCCGATGTGCCATCACAGGACAGTGAAATCCATACACAGTTGAGGGCTGTTGTGATTTATGCCAGGCAGTGTGGGTGCAGCTCTCCCTCACCCTTCTCCAGATGGCCCGGACACACGCATACACAGCACACAACACTCAGCTGGAATCATTTACACTCTGAAAAATCCCAGGGCTCAGGCCACAATAACAATAGCCTGAATACTGGCACAGGTGTGTAATGAATGGTTTGAAGCTTCCTCTGTGGAGTGAGACTCACTCGTTCAACTGCTTCTTGAGCAAGATGTCTGTGGTAGGTAGAATAATGCTTCTCCAGTAGTGTTCACATCTTAAGCTCTGAAATTTGTGAATATGTTACCTCAGTGGTCAAAAGGAACTTTGCAGATAAGATTATGATAAAGATCTTGAGATGAGGAGGTTATCCTGAATTATCCAAGGGGATCTTCATATAATCACCTGGTCCTTAAAATAGAAAGGGCAAAAGTGTCAGAGTCATAGAAGATATGATGACAGAAACAGAAGATCAGAGTCAGAGGGATATGAAGATCCTCTTTGAGACAGAGAAAGAGACCACAAGCCAAGAAATGAAGGCACCCAATGGAAACTGGAGAAAGGCAAGCAAAAGGATGCTCCCCTAAAGCTACCAGAGTGGGAACAGCCCTGCCAACATCTTGACCTTGGCTCAGTGAAATCCGTGTTGAACTTCTCACTTCTGAGTTGTAAGACAATAAATATGAGTTAAGCTACTAACTCTGTAGTAATGTGGTAAAGCAGCCATAGGAAATGAACGGAGGATCTTTCTCATCCAGCTGGTGGTCTACTATTTTTCCTGCAGAATTCTTAAGCCCTGTTGGTGTTAATAAAGATGAAAAATCTATACCACCATTAATTGGATTAGATGAGCATAGAGCATGATCTACTCGATTTTACACACTCTTCTTCACTCTCTTGCTGACTCATTAAGTTACTAATTCACTCATTTGCCTACCAGTTAATTTACTCTTATATTCTTTCAGCTCATTCACTCACACACATCTCAATAAATAGCTGTGGAGTTGCTGGGATAGTGTGGTCATTTCTTTGGTGGCCACTGATGAGCAGTGTTTGAGGGGGTGGCTGTGTCTTAGGAACACATCTGAACTCCTCTGGATCTCTGCCTGTAGAAGGCCAGACTGGGACAGGGCAAGGCCATAACCCGCCAGACTTAGGTTCTTTGGCATTGACCTCATGCTAGGAACTGATAATCAGATGATAGCATGATATTTCAATTAAAGTGATGATAATACTTTCTCAGTAGTGGTGAACCTATGGCACACTGGCCACAGCTGGCTATTTGTTATCATTGAAAGCTCTAAAAGGTTCATTGTCACTGCTTTAAGCACATCACCTCTGGAAGTCTAGAAACAAATTACTTTCCAAAGCCATGCAGCAGTGAGTGGCAGAGCCAGGTTTCAAGTTTGGGTTTGTTCAATACCTAAGTCCATGTGTTTCATCTGTACTTGTAGTCTGGGACCTCCCTTGGCTGGGGCCAGGGAGAGGAAGAAATCAGGAAGGATCAAGGCCAAGTACTTCATGAAATGGACAAGTGAAGAAAAAATAAGTTGTCTACATCTCAGCATTTAAAGGGATTCAGGTGAGTCTTTTTCCCATCCAGGTTGGTCTTCATTCCAGATGTATCTAGTTGATTTATCTCTTAATTATAGGAGGCTCTTGGGCCAGCAGATAGATAGATCTGGATGACCCACAGAGCTTCAGCTGTACATGCAGGTATGCACAGACCATAGGTCCACTCATGAGGGCAGAGGCTTTCCAGAGAGCTCAGATGAGTGGTCTAGAGGACAGGTGGACAGAAAATGGAACAGATGATCAGAAACAAGAATGAGATCTTCAGGTTAAGGGTTGGAAAACCTAGTTACCTCTGGCAAGATATGGAACAGATCTAGAACAAGACCAACTCTGGGGAGACAACCACACAGCTTTATGTTCCCTCCTCATCAGTTGGAAGGTGGCGTGATCTTTCAGTCTAATCTCTTGACTTTCTCCCAACCACAGTGAATATCTTTGGTCTTGTCTTCCTAGCCCTCATCTCTTCTTTTGAGCACATTTCTTCTTTTGCAGAACTGTCCCCAAACCAGCCATGGTGTCCTCACTGGGACCATGGCCTTGACCCTATGAATAGGCACATTCCCTAGCCAACACAGTTAGACACACACACACACACACACACACACACACACACTCCCATGGGCTTTTTAAATTAGAAGCAAGGGCAAAGATCTTCATGTTCTCTCTGTTGATAAAGGTATGCAGGTGAATCAGGGGGCTGTTATTTTTGCAGTATATCAAGTGACTGGAGAGATCAATAGGTGAAACAGGAGGATTTATTCCAAATTTTAGGTATACACTGACTTGGCAGACTGATGTCCAAAGGCTGAGCCCAGAACAAAGGAAAAGTTCCAGTTTTATACCTGTGTCTGAGGGGGTGATCTTTCTAGTGGTGCAAAACTGGGGGGAGGGGAAGGGAGGTTACAGAAGTGAGACAAAAGCAGAGAAAAATAATCACACAGTGATAGCCTTGTGACTTAGCCTTGAAGGAAGACAGAGCCTTGTGAATCTTATGATGTGATTATTTATATATTTGGGGGGGTGGGGTACCAGGGATCAAACTCGGGACCTTGAGCTTGCGAGGCAGGCACTGGAACCACTGAGCGAAATCCCCAGCCCACCTTGTGAATCTTGTGAGAACAAGATGATGTAAACTTTGTTTACAGGACATAGTTGCTGATTTTATCTGTACCAGAAGAAGGAATTACAGCTACAGGGGTGGAGGGTAATCTGAGGTGGGGTGAACTGCTCAAGGTTAGGTAAACCTTGTTTTCCTTTAAATCCTGCTTTACTATGGGTGGGCACAGTTCCAGCCTCAAACAACCACCATTCACAATAGAATGAGACCAACAGACAGAGATAGGGACAGAGAGGGACTTGGGGCATTTGAGTTCTTGGTTCTAGGCATCCCTCAGGACAACCACAGCTTGATCATCTTATGAGTTGGCTACAGCAGCCAATAATCTTTTTTGTATTCTAAGCTTATTTGGTTTGGATTTCTGCCACTTAAAAATATAAGACATTATCCCAAATGTGATGGAAATGAGTAGTACAAGAAGACAGGAGCTCTTCTCTCCACAATTTTTTGGGTCTCTCTTTCTTATCCTCTTCCTCTACATGGTCTGTTTCAATGCCACTGTACTGATGACTGGATCCCTGGCAGCTATTCAGATAGTATGTGCACAACACTGTCCTACATAGGCCCTTGTAGTACTACTGTGTTTGGGGCACTTGCTCTGTGCCAGGCACCATGCTAAGAGCATTTATTCACATCTCACTTAACCTCTTAATAATTTGCTCTATAAAGTATGTGCTATTGTTTCATTATTAAATAGATGGAGAAACTGAGGCCAAAAGCAAGTCCATTTTACTTATCCAAAGTGAGCCAACTAATAAGTTTGGAGCTGACACTTTCCAGGCAGGTTCCTTCTAGGGCCTGGACACTGAGTCTCCACCTCAAACTACTTCTACTCTATATGTTAGTCCCTTTGCCTGAGAAACTCTCTTGCTGCCTAGAGACATGGCATGACCAAGAGAGGTAGCTGCTGTGTCTTGAAACCTTAGTGGGAGCTCTCTGAGTACCACTGCACCACCTGTCACCCTCATAATAGTGTCATGGGGCTGTGGGTACAGAGCATCAAGCCAGCTCTGCAAGGTTACATGATTGGTGAATGGTGGAGGCAGGATGAGAAGCTAGCTTTGTACCTAACTGCAAGAAACCTTACTGACCATAGCGTGGTTAGCCACCACTCAGCAGCCAGCTGAGAGGCTCAGTCATCCAGCTGGGCCTCAGGGCTGCCTTCTGGAGAAGATCAGAGCCTGGATAGTGCTCAGACTCAGAATGGCAATCGAGTGGCAGGCAAACACCAATGCAGGCGGCTCCTCGATAAGCCATCTGCAAACACTTTCTCTGCATGAGAAGTGTCATCCTGCTCTAATCTCTGGAGCCCTCTGCAAGGTGAGCCTGCCACCTTCCCTGGTAGAGCAGGTTCCTTCCCTGAGTCATGCTTGCCAGTGACAGGAGGACAGTGAGGAAGGCTGAGGAAGCAGGAGCTGGTGGAGGGAGTGGTCTAGTGTACTGGCTAATCTGGGTGTGTCAGTGTCCTGCCTTCTACCCTTACCCTGTTCTGTCACCAGAGTGGATACAAGCTTTCTGGATTCTCTTGGAAAATTTACACTGGCTGCTCTGGAGTTTGCTTGGTCCCCGTGTCCTCTGAAATAGGGTACAAGGAATTGATAAGATCCCACTCCTTTTCTCACAGCTAAACAAGGGAAGAAAATAGTTCACATTTGTGAGGCACTTACTGTGTGTCAGGTGCAGTCCTTGACATATTACAAACAGGGGCACAGCTGTTCAGAGGATTCTGTTGCACAGACAGGGAAATTATGGCTCAGAGAAATTATTTCATATGTCCACATTCTCGTGTCCAGTAAAGAATGGACCCTGGATACAAAAGAAGAATGGTCTGGTTCTAAGACACACCCCTTAACTCTTAACCTTCTCAAACCTGTCACCTTTGTGTAGGAGAATAAGACAGGTGATCAACCAGCCAGGTGGCACCTCCACATGGGCAGAGACCTGAACCATGCAGGGGAGAAGACCAGGCAGGGTATGAGAATACTGTGGTCACCAGACTCTGAATGCCTGCATCCTGCCCTGGCCATCCCTCACTGGGGATGAATATCTTGTGGTCTGGGGGCTACTACCCTCAACCTCATGTCTAACCTGCAGCCATATAAACTTGGGCTGGGGACAGGGCACAGCCCACTCAGGGCCCCACATCTGGTCAGATGGATACTGCTCTGAGAGTCTGTCCCTAGCAGGCTAGAGCAGAGCCTGGAGGGAGAGGATGTACAGGTGCAGGACCTCCATAGAAATGTGATGGGCTGAGATGGGGAGGCAGCAACAGGAATGATAGAGGTGATGCTGGGGCACCCTTTCACAAATCCCTCTGTTAAAGCCAGGTGCATGGCCTCCTCTTCAGACTGAGAGTTCAGCCCCTCTCTCTATCAAGTGACCTCAAAACAAGGCCTCAGGAACCTACTTCCTGATACAATCCTCTGATTGGTCCAGCTTGGGTCACACGGCTACCTTGATCCAATCAGCTATGTTCTGAGAGCCACATGATGCATTTCACTGCCACTTTTAGGGAGCAGTGGATTGAGGGAGGGAGACTAGTCTTCAGAGGCATCAGAAAAAGGTAGAACTGCCTGATTTGGAGATAGCAAATGAGAGTTGGGCAGCCCTGAAGGGTGGCTGGGGTCCACCACAAGCCACCTGGTCCAGAGGTTAGTCCCTTGTACCATCCTTAGACCCAACCTTGTCCTCTCACTTCAGCATCACAGGTGCATCCAATCCATACAGGCAAGAAGCCTCTTCCATCAGCCCTGCCAGCTGAGGATAGAAGAAAGTGGACAAGCATCCCTCAGAACCTTCTCAGTGTGTCACCCAAGCACATAAGACCTGGGATGTCCGTAACAAAGCTGTCCTCCCTCCAGTAGTTACAGCCAAGATTCCTGTCCCTCAGCGCTTCTGGGCCTAGACACATGTCCTCCAGAGAGCCTTACTTCTGGAGGAAAAACATTTACCTGATGTGGTTTGTGTGGGCTCCCTAGAGCTCCCAATTAGCTGAGCAGGAAAGAGCTCTGATAATTTGTTGAGTTTACTGCATTGCTTCTGGGAAAAAGGAACATTTGCCCACATTGATTACCAGATCCCATTGTTGTTGCACTTGGGGTAGATCTGCATCTGAGGAGTCCCCGGGAAGAAGCCAGCAGCTGGTAAGTGAATAGGGAGTGTGGCACCTGGCTCAGGGATTGGTGTGATGGGTAAGAATGGCTTCCAGACAGGTGTGGGCAGTGCCCTAGGAAACTGACATGCACCCAACATAGTATCTCTGCCCCCACCCCAGTTTACTTGCTCACTGTCTCTTCCTCCATTTTCCCCCACACATCCCTCTGCTTTCATCAGCAGGGTTTCATTCGCATATGCACCCAATCATTTCTTTTTCCTCTGAGCAGTGTCTATTGAGCCCTTTCTTTGAGTCAAACACTCTACAAGATACCAAGGAAGGAATGATGAACAAGAAAGACAGCTGCAAAATAAAAGACAGATAATAATAAGAAGGGAGACAGGTCTTTCACAAATGGGAAAGGGATCAAGAGGTGGGGGGGCGGTGAAAAAGGAATTAGGATATGTTATATACATGTACCAGCTCCATACAAGGAATATAAACATTATGTATTGCAAACATGTACTAATAATGGTAAGTAAAATTTTTTTAAAAGACTGCTGTCATGTGCAGGGGCTTTTAGCTCAGGAACAGGCCCTGAATCATGCCTGATGAGACCAGCACAGAGGAAGAGAAGGTGCAGGGAGCCCAAGGGGTGTACAGGAAAAGCAAACCTGACTTGCAGGGAAGTGCAGACTTCTTACAGGCAGTGACTGCTGCATGAGGAGGAAGAAAGGAGGTACTTAGGGAAAGGGTTCGAATAGATGCAGGTAGACAAGGGGAATTTGGCAATGAGGTGAATTACTGATTGTTGGAAACATCCCAGACATACAGTGATTGTTGGGGTTCAAACATTAGGCCTGGAAGACTCTGAAGTCATTCTCAAATCTAAGATTTGAAGATTATCTGGTTCTCATTCTCCTGATTCCAGACAAAATATAATTAGAAAAGATGCCCATCACTGGAAGCAAGAAATGCCATTCGTTCATTTGCTATTCACCCAGTCATTCCTTCAAGAAGCAGGCATAATAAAAGTTCCCTTTACGCTTCTCCACCAAAGTCGCTCCCCGAATGAGCCAGTGCTCCCATGGCCTCAGAGCACCCACTGCCAGCAGCCCCCACTCCCCACTGCTGTACGCTTCTGCTCCCTCCAGCTGAGCCGTACACTTTCTGAGAATCAATTGGGTATGTTGCCAACTCTCTCCGTGCCAGTCATACTTGTTATTGTAATTATGTGATTTAAATTAAACATCACATAAACTGATGAAATATGAGTGTGAAAGGAAATACAGTTGCAGCTATGGAAACTCAATTGAATGCTTTGGAACAACTCCATAAAGGAGAATATCTAAAAAGAATTGCTTTCTAAATATTAGGTGTCCATGAAAGAAACACCTTCTCCCCACAGGATAAGTTCCATGGGGACAATGAGGACTGGACACATATCCCTAGTATCTGGCATACAGTAGGTGCTCAATACACATTTGTTGCCCTGGTGACTGCTAGCAAAATTGGAAATGGTGAATGGAATTCTGCTTGTAATTAAATAAGACAGTGTGGAGAGCAAACCCATGGTCAAAGGGAAGCCCATGGTCCCACATTAAACCATCTGGCAATTAAATGGGGGGTGAAATATTTTACATTATAATGAAATGTTTAAGCTTGTATGTGTCCTTTTATGATTCCCTACTGAGAAGTTAAATTATAATTTACCAACTACATCATCTGTGAGGCTTCCATAATGGTAGGTCAGTGACTATTTTCTGTAAAGGTCTTGAAAATATTTTTGGCTTTGTGAGCTATCATCTCTGGCACAACTATTCAACTCTGTCATGCAACATGGAAGCAGCCACAGATGCCATGCAATACATGCATGGTTGTGGTTGTGACCTGGTGAAACCTAACCTTTAGTAACAAGCAGCAAGCCATGCTTTGCCAACCTTTGTTCTCTGTACTGATGCATCCTGTGTGCCAGACATAGTGTAGTGTTGCTGGAGATACTGAGACAAAATAGCTGCTACCCTAGCTTGCAGAGAGCTTCCCTTTTGATGTGGAGATGTTTATGTCAGAAGATGATTTCAATGTGGTATATATCCAGGATAATGGTAGGCGTGTGCCTGTGCTGCCAAGGGACAGGGAGATGGAGAGGTGGAAGACAAAGGACAATTGGCTAGGTTTATAGGATCGATGATACTTTGCCAGGTGGGGCAACGGAAAAGGCCATTCCAGGTCAGGGAGCAGAATGTCCAAAGGCATGGAGGCATATACTTGCTGTGTCCTGGGATGTAATCCTTGTGTGTGGCTGGAGATCAAACTGAGTGTCAGTGGAAATGGGAGGACATTGAAAGTTTGGGCTTTATTCTGGAGCCTAATGGGTTTGCCCCTCACAGATGGATTTCCAGTAAGACAGAGACTTGATTCAGAATCCCCAGAGCATGAAAGATGGTTAGGAGGTAGAGGGCAGGTCAGAAGGTTATCTCTGCAGGCCAGGTAAGAAGTGATGAGATCTTAAGTTGACTACAACTTGACATGGTGGGTATGCAGAGGGAGAGTCAAGGGTGATGCCTGGGTGAGTAATGGGAGCAGGATAACTGGCTGAGGGGAAGGTTTGACTTATTCAGAGCATAGTGACCAATCCCAAGTACAGATCAGATAGCCAGGAGTGGAAGCAGTATAGAGTGCCTCAGGCCTTCAGAGATGTGGGCACAAAATGTGGGCAGGTGCTGCTAGGGAAGAGTCCTGGAAGACTAAAGGGTCTCTTTTTAAAGGTAAGCCCAGAGCTAGGAGACTCTAGCAGTCTGTCTTAGTTACTTTTCTTGTTACTGAGAAAAAATACCTGATACCCAAAGTTAAAGGAGAAAAGGTTTATTTAGCTCACATTTTGTAGAGGTTTCAGTCCATAATCAGCTGGCTCCAAGGCAGGGTGCCACTGCAGAAGGGCATGACAGAGGAGAAACAGTTCATAGCACACAGAAGGAAGCAAAGCAACAAGAGATGACCACAGCTCTTTCTATCCCTTATCTTATCCAGGCTACTTAGGACAAGTAGCACTCACACCCTTTGTCCTAGTCCCCTTGAGCCTAGCACTGCACCATGATTCAATCCCAGTGTTACACACTCTAGCTCCAGCCATCTCTGAAAAAGCCCCACCTATGACCAGGTAAGGCTTTGGGGGGACATCTAGACACAAGCCATAACATTCTGCCCTGTCCCCCCAAAGGCTCCTGCACATCTTATTATCCAAAAGGCATTTAGTCCATCTTCAAGAGTTACCAAAGTCATAACTGTTTCAGCATTGCTGAAAAGTCCAAATTCAACATCTCCTCTGAGATTTAAGGCAAACTTTTAGCTACAAGCCCCTGCACAAATGCAAAGAAAGTTAAACACTTCCAACAGTCAATGGGACAAGGTAGACATTTCCATTCCAAAAGGTACAAATGGGGGATAGCAAGGAAGGGGAACAAAGCAAGACCAAAATCCAGCAGGGCAAACATTAAATCCCACAGTTCCACTTCCAGCATCCCTGGCAATGTGTGGCAAGTTGTGAACTCCAAAGGGCTCGGGTGGCTCCACCCCTAGGGCACTGCAAGTGGTTGCAGCTCCTATGACTTCTCTCTTAGGCTGACTCCACTCCCTTCTTGGAGTTTTCCTCAGATGATCCATGTTGCTGGCTTCTCCAAACTGCTGGGGTTTCCAGCACACCTTTGGCTTCACACGCACAGCTTCACACACTACTCTCTCAGGGGCACACTGCCTGGCCACCCAGGCCTTCTTTAGAAATCTGGGTAGAAGCCTTCCTGACCACAACTCTTGCATTCTGCATGCACCTAAAATCAGCACCACGTGGATTATGCCAAGATCTGCCACCACCTGGAGCAGTAGCCAGGCTTCGTTTTCTCTTGCCTGTATGGGTGCAGTGCCTGTGAACCAAATCCCGAGGAATAATTTCCCTAGGCTGCCACCATTCTGGAATATGGTGCTCAGGGGCTCTCTTCTCAAAGCAAAGTCTTTCACTTTTGGAATTTTGAGGCTGCAAAGGGTGGAGTCCTGCTGCTTCTTGTGATGCCCTCAGGCCATCTTTTCTATTCTTCTGTTCCTTCTCAGCAATCAATATCTCCTTTGCTCTTTCTTTACAGTTCACAACTTTGCTGGAGTTTCCTTTTGGCCAAACTCAGAATGTTTTGAATCATTCTGCTGGGCTCTTTGCTCTTGATTCTCAACATAAATCTGACTAAAAGCCCCCAACAGTAGCCATGCCACCACCTCATTAGACTGCCTTGGAATTTCTTCTGCCAGATTAGTCTGACACCCTTAATCTCAGTCTCAGGCAAAGTCTCTAGACATGAGCAAAATGCAGACAAACTTTCTGTGAAGGCATAACACACACCATCTGGAGTCCAACAGCCAATACAGTCCTTCCTAGCAGAAACCTCCTGAGTCTGGTCTTGGCCAGCAACTTTTCTATCAGCATTCTGGTCTTCTGAGCTCTGACCATAATCTCCCATCAAGTACACCCTAAGGTGTTCCAGCGCTCCTTTTTCAGGCAGCATCTGTAAACCTTTCCTAACTCTTCCCCTTGCCACAAGCCAGTTTCAAAGGCTCTTGAGCCACATGGCCAGATACAGTCACAGCAATGACCCCACTTCTTGGTACCAAATTCTGTGGTAGTTTTCTTGTTGCTGAGACTAAAAACTCAACACTCAAAATTAAAAGAGGAAAGGTTTATTTAGCTCACATTTTGTAGAGGTTTCAGTCAATAATTGGCTGGCTCCAAGACAGAGTGGAACATGGCAGGGGTCATCACAGAAGAGAAACAGTTCATGGTGCACAGAAGGTAGCAAAAGCAATATCTTATCTTATCCAGGCTACTTAAGCCAGGTAGCACTCACACCCTTAATCCTAGTGCCCTTGATCCTAGCTTTGCACCATGAATCAATCCCAGTGTTACACACTCTAGCTCCAGCCACCTCTGAAAAAGCCCCACCTATGACCAGGTGAAGCTTTGGGAGAACACTCAGATACAAGCCATAACACAGTCCATTTCT